AGAATAAAACTAGTCTATGTGGATCAACTCTGATGAAGCCCTCATTGTCACCTGCAGACAATGCTTTCTCTAATCTCCTGCTTAAACTTGATTTTAAGTCTATGATATCACAGAGGCTGCCCTTAAAATAACAGGCTGTCAATATTATGAGACTAAAGAACTTGTACAACTCAAGAAAAAAAGTCCAATTAAAAAATGGGCAGAGGACCTGAACAGACATTTTTCCCAAGAAGACATACAGACAGCCAATAGCTATATGAAAAAATGTTCAACTTAACTAGCAATTAGGGAAATGCAAATCAAAACCACAATGAGATACCACCTCACACCAGTTAGAATGCCTATTATCAATAAGACAAATAATATTATAATAAGTGTTGGAGAGGCTATGGAGAAAAAGGAACCCTCATATACTGTTGGTGGGAATGCAGATTGGTGCAGTTACTATGGAAAACAGTGTGGAGGTCCCTCAAAAAATTAAGAATAGATTTACCATATGATCCAGCAATCCCTCTCCTGGGTATCTACCCCAAACATCTGAAAACATTTATCTGTAAGATATATGTACCCCAATGTTCATTGCAGCATTATTTACAGTGGTCAAGACATGGAAACAACCAAAGTGCCTTCTGATAGGTGATTGGATAAAGAAGATGTGGTACATAAGAGTAGAACACAATTGAATACAACTCGTCCATAAGAAAAGATGAAAAGATGAAAAACATGGATGGGTCTTGAGATTATTATGCTTCACAAAATAAATCAGACAGAAAAAGTCAAGAATCATGACTTCACTCATATGTGGGATATAAAACTGAAAGCAACAGAGGAACAAGAAAAACAAACAAACAAACAAACAAAAACTCACAGACAACAGTTCAGTGGTTACCAGAGGGTAAGGGGGAGGGGGTGGTAGATGAGGGTAAAGTGGGTCAAATATGTGGTGATGGAAGGATAACTGACTCTGGATGGTGAACACACAATGTAATGTATAAATGACGTATTATAGACATTTACACTTGTAACCTATATAATTTTACTAACCAATGTCATCTCAATAAATTTAATTAAAACTGGGCTTTTTCCACATCATCATCCCCTTTTCTATTAATTAATACAATCATTTCTCTCATTTTATGTGATTTCCACATTTCAAACGCTCTCATTCACTATCCCCAGAGTGTGTCACTTTTGAAATAATTACCATCTCTTAGAAAGAAAGACATGAGGTGTTGCAATTATTCTTGAGCTTTTTGCATGGTAGTGTGAAAATAATGCTGACTAACATGTAAAAGACATAATTTTAGGAAGTGAAAAACAGAGATGGCATCAATCTTAGACATTTCCATAGAAGCAAATATGTCTGCATATATGCAATAGTACTGTTCATCTCTTTCTGGTTTAGAGAACAGAGAAACAAAATAATTCCAACAGGTCACCCAATATTTATTGCATTATCACTGCCATAATTTCAAACTGCATATCTTGCTGCACTTAGCAGTACCTAGTAAATTGCTGACGGTGACAAATACTTTGGTTTAATACACAAAATATTTGTGGAGCAATAAAGCAGTGTCTCATATCTGTCTGAACTGCAAACTGCTTGCTATTAGACTGACAGTAAAATCTACTGAGCTCTGATTTTCAGTTCAAGGTCACAATTAATTATATAGCAGTGACATTTGTACCTATTGGGCTTTCACTGTTGTAGGGGCTTTTGGAGAAATAATCTCATAAAGTAAAAAAATTAGCAGAAAGCAATATACCAACTTCATTGGCATCAATGAGCAAACAAGGATGGAAAGGTCAAGTTTTCATAAATAAAACACACTATGGGCATTCAGGTTCTTTGAGATGCCAGGACAATTCTCCCGTCTGTAACAGCCCAGAAGCCAAATGCCAAGAACAGGAATAATCCATCAGGGCTAAAAGTAACTGAAAGTTCTGATAAAAATCACAGGAATCAAACATGCAATTGAGTTTCACCTAGCTATACACTAACACAAGTTGATTTGAGATTCTTAGAGCTCTTTTCAATTCCTATACAATCCACACCTCTAGTTTATCCATACTGGAGAACGCTTCAAATATGACGTGTTATAGGATACCTTTTAATGTTCAAGTATATTTTCCTCTGTTCAGACTTTGTAAGGTGATAAGGCATTATTTAAAAGAAGCCCAAGTAATCACTTACACTTTTAAACTCTTTAATTTTGAATAATAGTACGTATACTCTTTTTTCCAGGACCAAATCTCTTGAGGTAAAAGTAGCTTTTATCTTTGTAGAAAGATACCTTCTTAATAAATCGGAAAGGAGCAAGCATGTTCCTGGTATACAGCAAGCACTCCATAAATGACCTCTTCCCTGACATCCACCTACTCACTGCAGTAGAACACATACTCACAAACTCACATGCTCATTGTCCTAATAGCTTCTACTTAGAAGCAGAACCTAAGTACAAATCCACATATTTTCAATTAAGAACAAAAGCCAGTGAGCTATTGTAGACAGAACAAGAAATCAGTTATGCAGTGTTCAGAATAGGAGCCTATATTAAAGCCAGTTCAATGCATCTTATTTTTTTAATGTCTGCCATATGTCAAACACTGTGAAAAGAACACATTTTTCAGTAACACCAAAAAGATGCTTCACCTCTGGATTAAGTCGTATGTTAGAATAAACCTATTTTATTTCAGTGATGTGGAACACTGTTCCTGTTAAATTAATTCATCATGAAAGAGTACAAACGCTTGAAGTAATTACACGAATGATCTTATAACCTCTACTGGCAATTGTGTGGTGACAGGGCTGTGCCCAGAGCTTAGCTTACAAAGATTTATGATACTACATTTCATTTTTCTCCTTACTACAAAACTCACAAAACTGTCACTGAGACTAGGTGTTCCTGCTAACACTTAACAAATTTGAACCTGAAGTATTGATCAATCGATCCATCAATACCTGAGTTTCTGGTTTATTCCTGTGAATTCCCATATCAATTGGGTGGCCAGGAAATCATTAGATCCCCATTATCCATCTTGCTATTGCTCATTGAAATTGTTCACTCCTTCCCTATCTCCCTACCAACTAGAAGGTGGGGCTATAGTGGAATGGCCTCCTCTTGTCCCACAACACCAAGCTGGCTTTTTTCTTTTAATTTTCCCACAGAATCATGGCTCACCCTAGTTCATCTAAATTCTACCACTATTCTTTATGAGGTGAATAGTCCTTTGTGAATTGGCCTGGGAAACTAACCATCATTATAGACCATTGTTTAAAGTTCCAACAAGGAATTCTCAGAACGACTTTAAGAATTCATTTCATTCTTCAGCTTGCAATTCCTCTGTGTTCGCAGGAACTATGGCTTATTCAGGAAATGAAAGAAAAGCACCTGCAGAGGTACTTTCCTGCCAAAAAACACAACTTCAATCAGGAATTACAACTCTGTGATATTAATTGCTGACCTAGTACCCACTTCCCTCTTCATTTACCCAACAGGCAAATTACCATCAGAGTTAAGGACAGTTTAAGAATGTAGATAGAGAAAAATAACTAAGTGACACCTCAGTAGTTAAGAAATTACAGAAATACTTTAGATGGAAACTCATCTTGCCATCTCTTTTTGCATTAACACCTTTAATGCCAGCAGGGGGGAAAAAAGGCTGACCATTTGAAACATCACCAGCATTCTTGGTAACACACTTATTTGTGTAGAAATTCATATTCACATTAAAGTGAAAATTGATTTCAGGCATCTTGGATTTTATGGTACTTAATATTTTCTGAGATTTACTTATACTGCAGGTAAACAATGAATGAACCAAAATGGACATAAATATTCCCTCCATTTCTTTTTGAATTGATGCAAAGTGATCGTTGTAGCACCCATTCTAGTGGCATTGGTTACAACGTTAGAATAAATTAATAAGCTATTGACTGTATGGTCTCTTCTAAACTTCTCACCTCCAAAACTGTGAAAGAGCTAGTTGTCTTCTGAGAGTACAAAGTAACTAGTAAAAAAATTTTCTAAGACAGATGTGAAAACAAACCTTAATCATGCCCCTTAGACCCAGGTCTAACTAAAAATCTCCTTTCTATTATCTCATTATACCTCGCTTTTGTGCCTTAGCACTGGGTCCCCACACACCTCTCCTGTACTAATGGAGTCAATGAAAGCACCACAAAAGATAATATATTTCATTATGAGTGGGCTTTCTCTCCCGGGCACCATCTCTGACCCTTCTGATAAGTGCTCTCTAGATGGTTCTCACTACAGTGCAGCAGTTTGGCAGGAAAGAGTTTCTAAAAAGGTAGAAAAATAAGGCTTAAGTGCAATCCTTAGTATTCAATTCCCAGCTTCTTGCTCAGAAGCTCTCTACACCAGTTTTTAAAAAATATATTAGCACGGTCTTTTCTTGATATTTTCCATTAGTTCCTTCAACATCACACTTCAAGCGTCAAACAAAAGCTCACAGTTGCCTCATAACTCTCTTTCCAGACCAGCTGTAAAAATGAGAAGGCTTACACTGACGTTCCCCAAGGACATGAAATTGGAGGCTTTCAAATGCCAACTATAGCTTCTAATGGCAGGATGGCAGGTGTTCTCTTGTAGGAGCTCTAATGTGCTCCATTACTCCAGAGATGCCCCATGACTCACACCTCACCCTGGATCTCAGAAAAATCATACCTCACCCTGGATCTCAGAAAACTGTTCACATGAGGTCAGGCCAGCAGGTCACCGGAACGAAGTCAAGAGTGAGAGAACAACGTGGAACCCTTTGCCAAACCATTGGATGGATGAACTCAGAAGACTTTAGAAATAAAACCACCAAAGGGTGATGAAATCCAGACCCATAGCAGCACTTGGCTATATGGCAGGATTTGTTTCCACAAAATGGTATATTATTTTATCTCTTAAAACTCATGCATTTTCAACTAAGAATACTCTCTTGAAGGATAAACAAAAATGACCAAGTAAAAGGAAGTGTATTTGTCTTACCTTCTTCTGATCTTCTAGCTTATGACTCACTGGATTCTTCCCATGTCTGTTCATCTCTGAAGATAAATCCATCACATTAGGTTCTTACCCTTCAAAATGGAATCTCTTCAAAAAAGCAGCAAACTAATCCAAGATGCAATCAGTAGGAAAACACTGGCATGCCACATTTCTCATCACACACCGTCTCTGAACTTCATCAACTCCAAGGAATGATTAAAAAACCCATTGATTGAATGGAAAAAATGAATTTTGGAATTTACTCCTGGGACTTTCCAAATCAACATATCGTTTTTAAATACTGATGTCTCAAAAGCAAAACTGTCATCCAAGAATTTTAATTCCAACTGCTATCTTCTTCTTTCTTCACAGCTTTCCATTTTAATAAATAATTACACAGTTCCTGTAAACCTGTGATAAAAAAAATAAGCACACAGTTAATAATTCTTCCCCGTCATTTATAGTACAATTAATGAAAAATTCTTATCTGAAATGTCCAACTTAGAAAAAAAATTAGGCACAGATTTTATTTCACTTAAAATAGCAAGTGAAAGGCATTATTCTTCACCCCACTGCCTTCAAAATACCAACAGTAATACCTGAACCAAAACAAATATTAAAACCAGGGATTCACAGCATAGTGAAGCTAAAACTCAGCTGAGAATACAAATACATTCATCAAACAGCTGTATATGCTCCATGGTTCCACTTATTAATCACAGCATTCAGAGAACTACAGAATTTAGACAAGAGCTTGATTATAAGTAGATACAATGCTAGAGTGATACTTTTCATAAAGAATTGTATTTAAACTTCAAAATCAACCTGTGAAGTTGTCATTGCTCTATTTTAAGATGAGGGTATTGACAGGGTAGGAAAACTTCTGTAATTCTAGTAAATGAGTAGTAAATAACAGAAGTAGAATTAAAATTCAGACACCTTTGAATCCAAAACCCTTTTGTTGTTGTTATTGTTCTAGACATACTTGTCTCAACTCATATTGCATATTTTGTCCCCAAGATAGCATAAATGACTTCATCAATTGCCTAGCAGGGTTATGAATGCACAACGCGTTCTTCTAAAAGGGTCAGGTAATCTGGTGGTGCCTAATCCCACCTAGAAAACTGAATTATTTGAAAATAATCTTAATCATATAGATTCCTGGGGTCTACCCAACTCTGCTAATTTAGAAGCTACAAGTAGTGCTTGGAAATCTGTATTTTTTTTTTCATCTCTTCTAGACACTCTGATACAGGAAAACCACTAAGGAGCTGAAACCTCCCTCTAATGCAGGACTTCTCAAACTTGTCTGCATTTTGGAATCACCTGGGAAACTTCAAAAACTACTGATTCTTGTGTCCCATCCCAAGAAACTGTATATAATTAGGCTGGGATGAGATCTGACTCTTGGAACCACTGTCCTAGTACTATATATAGTCCTTTTGCATAATTGACCAATCTCTGCTTAAATACGTTAAACAAGAGGAAACACTGTCTCAAGGGCAGCTCTTTCCATATTGAGGCAGCTCTAGTCTTTAGATAACTCTTCCTAATTTGGAGATGAAGTCTGCATTCCTGACTATTTCTGAACATTTGTAATTACTTATGTCCTCGTAGCCATCACTGTACACAAAACATTTTTAATTTCCCTTTTTATCTGACAGTTCTTCAAGTATCATTTTAGCCTTGTTAAACATCCCTAGCATCTTCAACAATTCCTTACCACCCTGGTTACTTTCTTCAAAAGAGCTTTCTCTTTTCACACGACCCATAACCTATGTTACCCAGAAGAGGGCACAAAGGTCAGGCACAGCATGCTTCTTTTAAGAAATAACCTTCTCACAAAACATGACAGGCCAAGCATAAAATAAATGATAAAGCAGACAACTAGTATTTGAAAAATCACCGCCTGAGCTGCCTTTTGTACCTCCCCACACACTATTTCCTGTCTAGCCTTCCTTCTGCCAACCATTGATCCTTCTCAACCCCTCAGCTCTTTTATGTAAGTATTTGTTGTTTGTAAACTAATGTTAATGTTACTAGAAAAGGAACCAGTAGGGGCAAAGGCTTGGATGTGACAGAAAACATGGCCAATTTGAGAAACTCAAAGGAATTCAGAGGAGTCGCTGAAAAAATGTCAAGAAGGAATGTAGCATAATAGAATTTATAATTTTAAAAGTTCATCTTAGCTGCAATATGGAAAATAGATGGGAGGGAGTGGCAGAATACGAAAGAGACAAAAGCATCCTGAACTAGTGTAAGAGCTGATGGGATGGAAAGAATGACCACATTGCGTGATATGGTATTAAAAAGGGGGAGTTGACAGAATTGATAATTGATTGGATCAAGTATGAGTGTAAATGTGTGGTTTAAGGACCCATGAGCATATGGATGATGATATCATTATCTAAAGCAGCAAATCCCACATGAGAAGCACTTTGGACAGGAGGAGATAAAAGAATTTGTAAAGCAAACAAAAGAAGCTTGCTAAAATCAAGAAAATTACAAGCCAATCTCACTGACGGACATAGAAGCAAAAATCCTAAAGGAACATTAACAAATGGAATCCAACAATGTATAAAATGAATCTTTCATCAATTCCAAGTTGGTATTATGCCAGGAATAAACTTTAAAAATCAATCCATGTAATTCACATTAGCAAAATAAGGCAAAAAAAATATGATATGCTCATCTCTATGGGTTCCCAAGTATAATTTAACAATTTAAGTATTGATTCATGATGAAAAAAAAAGTTCTTAGGACATGAGATTTATCTGATAAACCTTACACTTTATCTGATAAAGTATATTCACAAAATATCTATAGCAAATATTATACTTATTGGTGATAAGCTATACTTTCCATTTGCTCAGGAACAGCACATGAACACCTGCTAACATGACTTCTATTCAATATTGTATTGTCCTGGCCATGCAGTGGGACAAAAAAATGTGAGAGAGAGAGGAAGAAGAGGGACGGAGGACAGGAGGGAGGGAGATGCAGGCAAGTAGTATAAACATTGGAAAGGAAGAAATCAAATTATTATTATTTGTAAATGTTATGATGATATATATAGAGAGAAAATATTAAAGAATCAAGAGTTAAATTACTAGAATTAATAAGTGAATCTAGCAAGTTTCCTGGATACAAAATCAATATATAGTATTCCTTTATATTTCTTTATAACAGCAACAAATATTTACAAAAATGAAACTTTAAAAGGACAGTATTTACAGTACCACTAAAAATATCAAGTATCTTGAAATAAATCTCATATTAGATAGTAAAAACTTTATGATAAAGCAATAACACATCATCAAAAAAAGTAAAGATCTTAATGAATAGAGGGCTATGCATATACATAGACTGAAAGATTCAATATTGTAGAAATGTGAATGCATGCCTAAAAGATTTATAGATTCAGTGCATTACTAATCAAAATCCCCAGTTTTCTTTTGATAACTTCAGAATATGCTTCTAAAATATATATGAAAATAAAAAAGACCAAGAAAATCCAAGACACTCGGATGAAAGACGAGTTGCAACTATTTGCTCTACCGGATGTTATGACATATTATTAATATAAACCAACTATAAATAAAATGGTATTAACTAGTGCAAGAATAGGTAAGTTAACCAATAAAACATAAAAAGCCCAGAGAGACTCTTAACACATATGCTCACTTGATTTATTACATAGGCAAAAATAACAAATCTGTGGGGGAAAAGTCTTTTCAGTAAAGAGTTCTGGGTCAACTGGATATCCAAGTGGAAAATAAAAAATGAAACTTGACCTCTACTTCACACCAGTAATCAATTCCAGGTGAATTGTAGATCTACATGTGACAAAACAATAAAGCTTCTAAAAATTCTCAACATGAGAATATTTTCATGTCCTGGGGGGAGGGAAAGGTTTCTTAAACAAGAGTACAAAAGCACTGAACATTTTTTAAAAATGATAATTATAATTATATTAAAATCAATTTTTTTAATTTATAAGATTTTGCCAATAAGAAAAAATAAATGCAACCCACAAAGTAGATAAAAGGTACTTGTTATACATATAACTACACGTAAATACATCCAAAACTCAAGAAAAGACAGGCAACAGACAAAAATATTTGAATAGGCTCTCCAAAAAATAATAGAGATAGGGAATAGTTAGTGGTTGCTATGGGTTAGGGATAGGGAGAGAGGGTAAGTATGTCTAAAGGGGAGCATACAAGGAAGTGTTTAGTAAAAGAACCAAGTTGTATTTGATTGTAGACATGGTTATATGAATCTATACATGTGGTAAAACTCCATAGAAGAATACACACACACACACACACACAAATAAGTGTACTCGTGTATAAAACTGTTGAAATATGAACAACCTCTGTGGATTGTTCCACTGTCAGTTTCCTGGCTTTGATACTGCACTACAAGGTATTACCAACTGGGGGGAACCAGGTGAAGGATATACAGGATCTCCCTGCACTTTTTACTTCTGCCACTTCCTGTGAATCTTAAATTATTTAAAAATTAAAAGTGATAAAAAAGAGGATGTACAAATGGCCAATAAACACACAAAATAAAAAGTGAACACCCTCATTAGTAATCAGGAAGATACCAATGTAAACCATGATGAGATACAACTTCTCATCTATCTACATGGACTAAAAAACAGGAAGAAGAAGAAGACCAACTGTTGGCAATGACATGGAATAATAAAAACACTACGGGTCAAAATATAAAGTTGCAAATATTTTGCAAAAAAAAAAATTAGTTTTACCTACTAAACTTGAAGATGCACATACTATTGTAGGACCCAGTAATAATATTCTTAGAGTTGTACTGTTCAAACATACAAGCTTATGCGCATCAAGAGAAATGTATAAGAAAATTCCTTCAGAATTACCAAGAAAACAGTCCCAGGAACAACACCCAAACTCCATCAACATTAGAATGTATAAATAATTTGTGATATATTTTACAAGAGATAACTGTACATTAAATAAAATGAACAAACTATAGATACACATATCAATATGGATGAATCTCAAAAATATTAAGAATTCAAAGATGTACAAACCAAAAGAATATATACTGTATGATTCCATTTCTATAAAGTTCAAAAAACTTGGAGAACTCAGCATTAGAAGTCAGGATAGTGGTTACCTTTGTTGAGGGGCAGGAAAAGAAGTTTGGATTTTGATAGAAGTTTGATTGAAGTGTTATAAACATGCCATTTTTTTACTTGGGTGGGCATTACATGGTTGTTAGTTTTGTTACAATTCGCTGAGCTGTAAATTTACGAGCTGTGCAGTTTCCTTGATGTTTCGTATGCTTTGTGATAAAAATATTAGCTAAGAATGGGCCGACCGAGTAGCGTGTTGGTTAAGAGTTGGTTTGGAACATCAGCTCTCAGC